TTTCAGAGTTCATTGGCACTTGTCGTAAAATATAGAATACTTTTATTTGAAAATTGATTCTGTAATGCACATTTAACTAAATGTACGGAAAAGAAATGCATATCTAGTGTCGTATAAATATTCATGTATGTTTTAAACAATAAGTAAATGGAATAGTAAATGAATTATGCAAAATTGCGTTGAGCGCAGCTGGAAAATATATATAAGCCCGCTGAAGTACGATTTTCCACTCTAAGCGTAAAACAGTAAATGATGTCAATTGAATAAAAATTTTCTTGGATATTATCCATCGTCTAGTAAATATAAAACGTAAAACGACGTTTCGGAGATGGGACTATCTCCGTCTTCAGGTTCCTACACAGTTGGGCCCACTAGATAGAGCTAATCCCTATCTCCGGTCCGGAGATAGGGATTAGATAGAGTCCCATCTCCGAAACGTCGTTTTACGTTTTATATTTTACTAGACTAGATAATATCCAAGGAAATTTTTATTCAAATGACTCTTCACCATCGTCAAGAAGTTTTAGATTTGATAAGTAAATGATGTATTAAAGAATTACTTACGTTCTTAATATGACCACTGTCTAAATCAATCCTTACTTCAGTATATAAAATCCTGTGAGATTTAGCTACATTGTACAGAGAAACGTCACTTTCCGTTTTAGAATACGACGCTACTGGAATTTATAATGTCGCTTACTTCGACAGAGTTGAGAATTACAAAACTTGTTCCCCTGGCCCATGTTGAACTACGACCATCGATCTCCGAACCGGTTGTGATGCTGCGGGTACAGCAGCTGTGATGTGAAGTCCGCTGCTCTCTGCAGGACCAGCCAGACTGATCTTGAACCCGCGTTCTATGTGCGCTAGAGTCGCGTCGAAGACGTCCTCTGGTGAGATGGTGTTGAAGCTTTAAAGCAGTCTTTTGTGTGGTTACAGCGGCAAATTTAATTATCGATGCTAGAATTGGTGGGGTCATTTGAAGTACTTGTTTCCGCGATGTAGCCCACAGTGTGCAGGTTGTGCGATGTCTCTTGCGAACTCACGCCACTACACAGGTATTTCTTGAGAAGGTGATGATGAAATGCCTCGTTTTTATGAAAACCGTGGGTTAATTACCGTGCACGGAAAAACCAAGATCTTAGGCATTAGCTTCAGCTTTCCGGCTGCAGTTTTGTGTGTATTTAATGTGATCCCTTGTGTGCTACGCGTGGGATAAAAATCGAGGTGGATATATGGTTGGCAGTGAAGAAAAATCTGGTAAATGTTCCCTTGTAAAAGTCATATAGTGATTACCGTATGCTTTACTTTTCTTGCTTAGCTCAAAATCCGAATTGTTAAAAATTGCAGTAATAATATTAATTTCTCACTTCTGAACTTGTCTTCATTGTTATTATTCTTTAATTAATAGGCGAAGGAAAATGTTCAAGAATGTGAATCAGTTTGGTGACGCGCTTTCGTCAGAAACCTATAGTCAAATCTTTAGTCAGCTTACATTAAACGCTTTATAACGTTCTATACCTTATCATTGGAACAGATACTCATTTCAATAGTTTGTTGTTCTTGTAACTTCAATTTGTGCGCTGTAAATATGGCTAGCACGCGCAGCAGAACCCGAAGGCTTAGAACGTCTTGAATCGGCTTAGTTTTTCTCTCAACCTTGCGACCAGTTTATCAGAGAGCCACATTTTATTTGCATCTGTTTACTTGGTTTCCTCTTCGCGGCCATGAGAATTACTTTGGTATGATGACGGTAGCTGATGGATCATTCTGATTTGATGTGTTAAATTTGTATGGTGGCATGTTCCGAAAACATGTGTTACTAGTACGAGTGGTATTAAAACCTGCAAGGTCTGATTCGTTGGAATCTTAAAATACAACGCGCCTACGGCGAGAGCTCGCTCTATTTCTGGTGTGTACACATTTATCGGACAATTCTAGCGTTTGAAATCTACGAAAGTGCTTAACTGAAGCAGAAAGTCAATAGTTTGACCAAAATTCTGCATATTCTAGTCTCTTTGACTGCCTCGAATTCACTGCATATTGCATGGTCAGGAAACTTGTCGTTTGTCTCTTCCGTATTCATTTTCGATGTTTGTACAACCTGGCACGAAACTCGAGGTGTTAAGCGAAATATTTAATGGAGAGGAAAATTTGTCTTCACTTCCGGCCTCTACAGCCTCAGCCTTGTTTCTACCGACGTCTTAGTCGGAAATATTGAATACAAGCATCCTGTTGTGTATTCAAGCCGTATTTGGAATCAGCGACAGTCAACAGTCAATACAGAATACCTGTACTTACATCTTATAGCTGACCATTTTCTGAAGAAGAATAAAACTTTATCGTCGTTGGTGCATGCGTAAGTATGGACTAATTGGAGCAGTATGATAGTTATTAAGAAAGCCGTACGGTTTCGTGTTCTAATTCTTTTTAATGTAGTGGCGTGTCATAAGCGAGAGTTTATATTTGCTTTGGAGTAGTTGCATAAAGTAATTATATCGTATATTTCAAGTGTAGCCACAAGATTACGGCTTCTGTACCATCCACAATCAAAATGCTATGAAGTATCGAATAAAACAAGTTGTTATAAAAACTTCTTGTAATGCTTTATTGTGTAGATTAATAAAAACTCGATAACTTGTTGAAGTCGGAACATGTAGTTTCGTTCTCAAATTTTCTGCCATGTTAAATGGCGTTTATTTACATTTTGTAAAAGGCTTGTTTGTTTACTGCTTTGTGTAGATTGTCATTTATTCCAAGTATGTCGCCTTAGTCTCATTTTCAGCCATATTGGTTTATAATTTCATGCTATGTTCACCATATTTCTGTTCGTGAATTTTCCATTCAGGTTTTGTAGTTTTTCATCAGCTGTGTTATCAGTCTAAAATTTGTCGCGAACGTCAGTATTGTTTTATCTAATCTTGAACATGGTGCGAAAATTAGATTATAACTTGCATGTACATACATAACAGGAGTATAGAAACCCGAAGAGGTAACGTGTATTGTAATTATATAAGTCCGTCCGCCGATGTTAGCGACTTTTATGGACATTCGCTGTTATTCTACTCTTTCCGTAATTTCGTATTGATGATCTTCAATGATCATCGCCGTTGTATCAGAAATCCGGTTTAGACAACTCATGACCGAGTTCATTCTGTCACAGATCCCTTTTAACCCAGTTTCTTGGCCGAGTAGTTAGCAGAAAACCCTCTGGATAGCCGGTCTCTGGGTCGATTTTTAACCCGGGACCTCCAGAATACGAAGCAGGGAGTGCGGTGAATAGTACTTTAAAAAGAAATCTGTTAGGAAATGTATTTTCTTTGTGTTTATTCGTGCTTTTCAGCGTTTGTGAGGAATTAAAAATCGTCATGCCTGAAATACTATTTGGAGAAAGAGGTTTATGCTTCAAAGGCCTATTGTGAAGAGATGATATCTGCGTCTTCTAAAGCTTTTCTTGTTTTTATCGTCAAAGAGTATTTTTTTAATAAAGGTATATAATTTTTAACATGGTTTTCAGAAAAAAAGTTCTTTTAATGAAACAATTTTGTTTGCCTTTAAACGCAGTCTGTTATCAAGATACATGATAAATACATGGGAATGCAAGTAAAAGGAAACACGTGTCTAAACAAATGTAAGCGCGTATAAGTTAACATTCTTTTCTCATTGTAGTCAAACTGCATGTCTGCTCTGAATGTAACACGTAAGTAATGTTACATTATGAAAACAGACTAAAAATGGTATGTGCTTTCCGCCGTTAAGCAGAAATTTCCACAGAACAGTTACTTTTTATTTGACAACAAACGTATTTTTTCTCTCCTGCAAAATGAATTTTTTGTATATTCGCGGTTTTCCTTACTGATCGACGACGTGAATGACCTAATTTTCATGATTTAATCGTCTTCGTAGTATCGAATGAGAAAGAAATATGGAGTTAATTCCCTCGCGTAAACAGCTGTAGGAACAGAAAATAAATTCGTATAACAGTTTGGTGGGTAAACGTCACTGGAAGAGGCCAGTTGGAGCTCCTTGGTATAGGAGGGAGGGGAATACTAAAATAGATCCTAGTGAAACGGATTGTGATGTTGTGAACTGGTTTGAACTGCGTCTGTCTGTTAACATAAGTGTGAACAACCATTAAAAGCATTCGCTGTTAACATGGCCCATTTTTTGGATTCCGAAGGATTAGACAGTTTATGATGTGAAGCTTTCACGGCGGCTTTCATTAATAAAGTCTTCTCGGACTATCAGCCGTGTTAGATGGCGATTAATCACCATCTAACACGGCTGATGGCCCGAGAAGACTTTATTAATTAGACAGTTTGTTGTCGAGGTTTTCTAGGTTATAGCGTATTATCTTGTAGGTGGTTTCAGAGGAATTTCGCTTGGTCTTCAGGGTAAAACTTCAGGACGAATACGACTGTTTGATGTTGCGCCGTGAAGTCTGGTAGAAGTTTACGGACGTTTCAGAGGTGTTTGTTTCATCCAATATTTAATCGATGATGGATACTGCAAGCGGCCCACATAGATTTTATGTTAATAGTGGAGCCATGTGATATTTACTGATAAATTTTCCATTAGATTTATGTTTGACGTCGGATTCTTACAAAAAGAGTTCAATGAAAAGGGGTGATGTGACAGTCAGTGACAGTTGGGAGGATAATAACAAATTGCGCTATCTTTACTCCGAGACCAGCCAAGTGCTGGGGGCAGAGTTGAAACTCCTAACTGGGGACTGAGGATAAGATAATGTGCTGTTTGGTAAGGACCATTGGACACCTCGTGGAGCGGTGACGGATGAGGATGGAGCATTGGTGGTATGTTTAGCAGGGGTAGCCTAAGAAGAACTTCGAGAAAAACCTGTTTTAATGCCACTTCGTATGTTTTAAGACGCATAAATTGGGGGCATGCCTGTATAGACATTCCTGTGCTAAAAATTTGACAAAAGTAGGGTTATGTGTAGTGTTTAGTATTTGTTAATTGTTGGCTTTTGCTTGTTACAGAGTGTGATGAAGCATGCGGGCAAGAATAACATTAAGAATGTGAATTCCTTGAACTTAAGTGACGAGAAGCCAAGAATTGATACTGGGCAAAAGATCAACAGTAATCACCACATTGGTTCGAATCCTGCGCAGGTAAGCCAACGTAAATGTTCAGTGAAATTTGAAGTTCACACGGCGGTGAAGGTCTTCTGAATAGAAAATCCGTGTGGGCTGTAGGTACGTACCAACGTTTCGGAGGAGCGTGCTACCTCCATCTTTATCCATGAAGATGGAGGCATATGCATTATGGAAAATTTATGTTTATTTTGTTATATTTATACCTTAGTACAAAATTCTGATAGCTTATGCTTGTATGTGGTCTGGTTCCCATAGCAGAGATTTTTTGCGTTTACACTTAATAATAATGTTATTTGTGCTTTAATAGTTGTAAATACTGGGACCCTCAGGCAACTCCCCTTTCGTTTAAAACATACCCGTAAACTGGTCATTCTTACTAAATACCACCCGAAGACAATTTTGATGTGAATTCGCATCCTTCGTAATGGCCCTAGAGTCCAGAAACATCCATAATCAAGTGTCTTCGCGCCTGGTTGGGTCGTACAACTTCTGCTTCACGAGTGCTATATTGATAGTTAAGTTGAGAGCATCTGCCCGCGAGAGGGGGCTAATAGTGACTGTCGTGTGTCAAAACAAATACCGTAGTCTGTTCTTATTGTTTAAAACGTCCCCGCCAGATGGCAGTCATGTACAGGATCAAGTTACACGAAGTATTAGCTTTTCCCGGCAGATGGAAGAACAGTCGGAAAGGAGGAGGAGGTTTATTTGAATTGATTCTGTGGACTGTGTCATAATCAGACTAGAAATTACTTCAGCAGTGTTTATACAGTTGTTATTACGGGTATTTTACATGGGCGATCACTGAAGTAAGATGTTCGACAGGAGCCACTGCAAACTGTGTTTGTTGGATTTTTTAAATTTAAGTACACTTTTCTACTGCACGTTATTATAACATCGCATGGTTGGATGCTTGTGAATGAAGTGGAACGGACCGTGAAGTAAACTGCCGTGTCCTGTTTGGTGGGCGTCCCAGAATCTTTCCGGAGGAACAGAGGAAAATCATGTAATCTCTCAGACAAGATAATCGGTTTCTGGGCTAAGATCTGATTCCGATACCTCCAAGATCCGAAGTAGTAGCGCTCATCACAACACCAAAACGTTCGGTCTGGTATTCGGTGCAAACACTGCATAACAGATATGGAAAAATATCAAATGAGATGGCGGAAGAATTTTGGAAAAGTGAAAAGTTTCCGGTGGTTCGTTACTGCCGAGATTTAGAAATGTACGTATTTATGGTGCGGTGCTTAGGTTTATTAATGACTGTTTCAAGAACACGTTACTCATCATCACCATGGAATGAGGCTAAATATTCTAACCCGTGATGATTAATTCGTGCGCAAAATATACTTCAAACGTAAACTTTACTCCAGCTCTACTCCTGAGAAGCGAAACTACCCGTATAGACGTTTGATGTGAGAGGCAGACTGAGACAGCTGGTCGTGGTGGCCAGGGGAGAAATTAACCCTACGGTGATCGAACCCCAGTCATTCAGACCGTAGCTAGTCATTTTACTGAAAAGTCAGCTCGAAATGGAAGGCCACCATTTGTCAGGATTCCAGAAACGATGTCTGTTGAAGCATAATTTCAGGTGGAAATTTATACGATTAAGATAGCTAAAACGATTATATGAATTGCAGAATTGAAGCAGCGGATGTTTGAGAAAGATGCTGAGGCCCTGACAATGACAAACCTGTTCTTCCAATATTTTATAGCCCCACCGTAACAGTGGATTAAGCGAGACTGGGTTGAGCATGAATGTGAAACCAAAAACAGTCCGCCAGAAAAAATGTAGGCCAGATCACTGATTTGTAAGACGCGGACATTCGGTCGTTGTTTTTTATGGCATAACTCACGGTCCTATGTACAGACTTTGATAAACTACACGTTTAAAAATTTGAAAACGCCGACGACTTCAAGGTTGTGATAAAGCAGTGAAGAAAACGAGATTCGGTTTTGTGTTCCTTGCACGAACTAATGCATTATGGAGACTGGTCATGACTGTCGGTCAGAATGTTTCAGCTCCGAAACTACTCGATAAATCTCGATTAACCGTTTACAAGCCAATGATTAACTGTATGTAAGATTTGAGGTTTTCACAGCGGTGAGTATGAAGATTTCTGTATGTTCCACCCGCTTCAGCATTCGGTAAATTTTCGATTTGTATTTATGGGTTTCGTGTGATTCTTAGTGTAAACAACATTGTCTATTTGATCTTTGCAATGGCGAAGTCTTATTCTTTCTTTGCGATATGGACTGAATTCTTAAATAATGTTTAGACGAGCTTCTGCTTCAAAGAGTTAATTTTGGTATCGGGAGTCTACGCTGAAAATGTCTAGTCCAATTTTATGTTGATGCATATCAGTGAAATACAAAAGCCTTTTTATATGAACCTCAGATCAGTTTCCTCATAAATGGTTTATTGTACGAAATATTAGTAAGTAGTTGTTAAAATTGGCAGATTTGATTTATTTATGGTTTCTTTTACGAAACTGCTAGTAGCCCATACTATACACGTTCTAGTGATAGGGTGATCAATTTAATAAACTGGAAAGTACTAAAAGCTTGTAAAGTTAGCCAGATTTTGGGCCGAGATTTGAACTCAGGATCTCCCGAGTACGAAGTAAGTGTGCTGCCCTTTCAGTCGCGACGTTTGGTGGCATCTTTTAACTGAAATAGACCCAAATTTCAATTCCATTCCCACTTAACGAACCACCCATAAGGAAAAATAATTTGCCTGTCTAGTCTAATATCGGCGCTTTTTTATTGGTTTCAAAACGTCACATCTGTGTGTGTCTATCTGAAAGCCTGTGAGGCGTGCAAAAGAGCGAAGGACGCGTGTCGAAAGTATTGGAGTAAGCCTACACCTTTAAGCTTTTGTTCAGAAATAGTTCGAATGTCGTTTCCAGTGCATAATATTCAGCAAACAGTCTGTATTCTCTAGGATCGACTGCTAACTATGCAATCCTCTCGTTCGGACTAATATATACGAATGGAAATACCCAATAGACTGCGTGGTACAAGAATTCACATTAGATCGCATTACGTTCTACAACTTGGAGCTAATCAATATTATCGATCGTTGCATATCCGATAGGAATGCGCTGGGAAATTTTAGATATAAAGGCGGTTATACATCCTTGAGTCAATTTCTTTGTGGCAGACAGTACACGAATAAAGAAGTCGTACATTGAAATGGATTTCCGTGTGTATACAGGACAAATTTAAATCTCTTCTTTTGGGCGAGTACTATCCACTACTCCCTAGGGGATAAAGCGGCCAAAGCCTAAAGCTGGAGTTACACCTTTACTCCCCCATACGTGTTAATGGCTTGGTGCTTAGCTAAGCACCACGAACGTCTTTAATATTACGAGGTAAATAAATATCTCGTGTTGAGTTTCAATGCATAAATTTACAATCTATGCTGTTGAATGAATGTCTTTTCGTTTATCGCAGAATGTTTTGTTGCAATGTTGCAATTTAATTGTTAGTAGGCTTACTGGATCGTTGAGTCTTGATTTCAGGGCTCCAGAAATACCCTCTAAGTCGCCACAGGCGAGTTAACGAAATCCGGTGGCCAGTATAAAAATAGTTGTATGGAGCGCACTGCGAGATTGGTTGAATACATACGTCTGCCATTAAGAGTGTAGTAGATTTTAATTTGTATTTCTGGAACATCGGCTGACAGATGGTTACGTCCATGTGCTTCTTTGTCGGTCTTTAGTAGGTGCTCTGATCTTAGTTGATGATCAACATAATTTTGTGGAGGTATCTTACTGATATCCTATAAAACGAACAAAGTTTATTGTACCAACTCTAAATGGTTTTGACTCCGGTGTATTGCAATGTGGATTATTGAGTTTTTGGACTTTTGGTATTCTTAAACACACACATTACGTTTCGAAAACCGGATCTGTCTTCGTCCTGAGGTGTAAGGAAGTAATTCAAACTGCGAAGGGCTTCGATGTCGCAGTTCCTGTGTAAATGGTATAGTAGGTGCATTTTTCTCGGGCGTTGATTGATACATTCGTTTCCTAAGCCGTTATGAGCTTTTAATCTGTAAAACTAATGCCACGAGTTGATGACTGAAATCCCTGTAAAACGCATGAATAAATAAGGGCTTGTACCCTGTTAAGCGCGTTTTGAGCTGAGGTTTAGTGATAATAATTGATGCACAATTTAAACCATCTTTAAATATCAATGACCGATGCAGAGTAATCACCGTCATACTGGTAGCTTTACCGGGATATATCGGCCAGGATTCAGCGCAGAAACTGAGAGATTATTTTGGCGGCATGCATTTTATCAATAGGACATTGCACATAACATCGGATACCAGTATTTATTCAATTTTGTATAATACGTATATGTACATGAACTGTGTTCGGTCTACTACATTCCCTGAAAAAGCACGACGTAATGGAGGCGTATGGAAGGCGTGGAGATTGGACACCAAACAATCTTACTAGTAAAGTACCTTGCATTTGTTATAAATAATTATACCTTTTAATATTTTGTGATACAGCTAACCGACGATCTGAAACAAGGAAAGAAGATGAAGTTCCAGGAATTAAAACGAGAAGCTGAGAATAGGGAAAACTGGAGAGCTCTTTTTGGGCAGAGCAATGGACCTGTCGTCAGACAGAACGCTGAATAATATTAAATATTTTGTATTCTCGTGATTGGAGACTTTTTCTGATAAGAACTGGTTTCCATTTGATCCGTTTGCTTGTTTATGCAGTAAACTGCTTCGGTTTTTCATTGCTGGGAAGCAGACCGTTGACCGCATGATATTCTCTTCTTTTAACGTGGCACTCCTTTCTGTGGACTTGTAAAACAGCAAATAGAGAGGATTTGAGGTTTTTACAGCGGTGAGTATGAAGATTTCTGTCTTCTGGGTTGTGGCGCTGTGTAGTCTGGTCGACGTTTACCAACGTTTTAGAGGTCATACTGCCTCCGTCATCAGGGCGATGAAGATTTCTGTCTTCTGGGTTGTGGCGCTGTGTAGTCTGGTCGAC